GGAACGAGAGGGGGAGATCGATGGAGAGGGTCGGGGCCTAGGGTTTAGGAAGGGTTTACGTGGGCTGTGGGAACGGGTCGGTCTGGTTGGTTAGGCCCAAGAGGCATGCGGTTGATGGGCTTCTTCTCTCCCTTCTTCAGATCTCTTCCAAAAACAGAAAAGCAAAGAAAGAAAGGGAGAGAAAATAAATGAGTGGACAATAATTTGGACATGGGGATAATTTTCTCGGACTCGCATAAATGCGCTTGTTCCAAGAAAAATAGAAAGGCCATGATTGAAACATTTAAATTCAAACTCATTTGATTTAAATTGAAATGATTTGAATAAGAAGTGAGGGTTGGGAAGGTCCAAAAATGTTCGGATTTTTTGGTGGAGCTCCGGAATATGATGAAATAATATATGGCAAGGTTGGAGACCAAGAATTAAGATAACAAAGGCATTGGGATAATTTGCAAGTGTGTTATGGTGATTTCCAAATTAAAGAAATATTTTATAATAGCTCCCTAATATTGGGAGAATATGTTATAAAGAGAAATCACCATTGTGAATATCCCTCAATTTAAATGGACCGAGGATCCACACAATTTATTTAGAAGAGTTATAAAAGTTAATGATATGATGGCATGATGAAACGATGCAATGCAAGAGATGACATGATGCGATGCAACAAGCAAATAAAACACACGGCGAAACTCGAAATAGCTGGAAGTCTTCTGGAGCGTCGGTCTCGGGGCGTTACAGTGTCTCCGTATCATAGGTGCCTTCTGTCCAATGAGCGGATGACATCTGTCCCAACAGTGAGCCAACATGTGTTTCCTCCAGCCAATGATGATTTTACACGTGGAAAATCCCCATTGGTCGAGGCTGTTAACGGGTTATCGGATCCGAAACCCGACCCGATAGCTTAACGGTGTTCCGTTATGGTGGATGCCACATGTCGGTTATCCTTGACGAAAGCACTTCTCTGATGCGCGATTTATCGTCATGGAAGTGGACACTTCTGTGATGATAATTTTGGTAATGTCATGGAACACTTCTACGACAGCACATGTATGACTATCTTGATTCTGTCATAAAATCATCATGGATGTACATGCATGACAAAAAACGCGACCTACTGTGACAAACACGTATCATCACGGAAGTGTATTTTTTTGTAGTGATTGTCACCACAGATAAGCACGGCAAGACATACATCAAGTGTTCTCAAATCCTTAAAGACTCAATCCGATAAGATAACTTCAAAGGGAAAACTCAATCCATTACAAGAGAGTAGAGGGGGAGAAACATCATAAGATCCAACTATAATAGCAAAGCTTGCGATACATCAAGATCGTACCACCTCAAAAACACGAGAGAAAGAGATCAAGCACATAGCTACTGGTACATACCCTCAGCCCCGAGGGTGAACTACTCCCTCCTCGTCATGGAGAGCACCGGGATGATGAAGATGGCCACCGGTGAGGGATACCCCCTCCGGCAGGGTGCCGGAACAGGGTCTCGATTGGTTTTTGGTGGCTACAGAGGCTTGCGGCGGGGAACTCCCGATCTATTGTGCTCTCCGATGTTTTTAGGGTATATGGACATATATAGGCAAAAGAAGTCGGTCAGGGGAGCCACGAGAGGCCCACGAGGGTGGGGGCGCGCCCAAGGGGGTAGGGCGCGCCCCCGACCCTCATGGCCACCTCGAAGCTTCCCTGACGTCCAAGTCTCCTAGATTGCTTCCGTTCCAAAAATAACTATCCCGAAGGTTTCATTCCTTTTGGACTCCGTTTGATATTCCTTTTCTTCGAAACACTGAAATAGGCAAGAAAACAACAATTCGGGCTGGGCCTCCGGTTAGTAGGTTAGTCCCAAAAATGATATAAAAATGTAAAGTAAAGCCCATAAACATCCAAAACGGGTAATATAATAGCATGGAACAATCAAAAATTATAGATACGCTGGAGACGTATCAGCCAGCAATCTCCCTCTTCATGTAAACCTTGCATATTAAGAGTGAAAATGCATTAGAATTTCTCCACAAAGTGTTATAATGATTAAAAACACTCTAAATAACAGCAGGAAAACATGATGCAAAATGGACGTATCAGCGACGTCGGCCTGAGCCTCCCAAAACTGCTCCCCCACGCCATTTCCATTGTGTAGTGCACCGGCGATGGTGGCGCAGAGGAGGAGGAGGGTGGCGTCGGCTCGTCGTCGTCCGTGTCCTCCATTGAGATGTTGTCGTCCTCCGGCTGCCTGCCGGCCAGCCAGTTGGCAGCAATGGCGGCCATCTCCTTCTTTTGATCCGGCGTCAGCTCGTCCTAGACAGGTTTGGCGGGGAGGAATCCATGGTGGGTGTGGTGCGGAGAGGGATCAGAGGCGGATGACTACGGCTATGGCCAGGGCAGCGGGTTTATATAGTAATGGCGGCGACAGGGGGACGAACGGGTGGTACCGTACAACCTCCACGTTTGTCTTTTGAGGGAGAAAGTATGTCCGGACCGCGCCGCAGACCGATACAGGAGCACGTTGGATGTCTTCTATGGTCCAAACAAATGTAGGAGGTTTAGAGTCGGCATTGGAGATGCCCTAACATCAGATAGGGGATCGGTTAGAGTTGGCCTAAGAGCATCTCGAGCAGATCTCGTATACCTCGTCTCGCAAAATTCGGTTTACAGGATACCTCAAAACGTTTTTTCACGTTTTTATGGTACGACTTTTGTTTCGCCCGAACATATCCTGTAAAAAATGTTATGTTTCCGGCAAAATTACATAAACCCCCCTAAAATGAAATCTAAATCATAATTGAGTCTTTCAATTCTTAGGCCGTGCTTGTGCCGGTTGAGCTCTTGCTGTGGTGCCACTGTCGTAGACTCCTCCCGCCACTTCTGCTGTCACGCACCACGTCGGACGCGGCCGAGCTCCTCCTCGCGCCTCACTGCTAGCTAGCTAGCGCGTTGCTGCTCCGCCAGTGACCAGCGGCGAGCTCGTTTGGAGCGAGCGTGTATAGCGGCGAGCGGACGGCATACGGCAACTCGCGTGCGGTGGCTGCAGCGAGATTTGACCAGAATCGAGCTCGAGAGGCCACAGCGCCGGCTACGAGAGAAGCGGTTAGGGCTGAAATTTTCCTCCCGACAAGGATAAAGAATATTGTAAAGGATGACGAAATCCCACATATATATAGAGAAATTAGGCTCATGGATGTGGGATCTAAAAAAAATCTCGTGACGCCAGATTTGATGGATCTGTTCTAACCGAGGATACGAGATGAATCCCGTAAAATGACTTATTACGGACCCCCGGACTATGGGATCATGCTGTAGAGTACAACCAACCGCCAAATGACCAAACCGAGTGAGGTTGAACTTTCAACTGACTCAGCCGAAGGAGAAACGAACACGGAGAGGACCAGCCGTAAGCTGGGTGTGGCTGGCTCTGGCCTCCACATATGCGCGAGCGGCTGGTCCATGAGTTGGTTTGACTTGCGAGACCAGCCGGCCATGGACACAGCTCCCACCTGCCTCGGATAATACAATACATACTGTTCAATAATTGTGCCGTCCACTCGTCGACTCAAGCAAATGGATATGATACAAATGGGAACATGGTTACGCTAATCCAACCCTGCAAGGTTACCACTTACGGCTGGTCCTCTCCGCCAGATCGCGATTAAACTTCTAAAGCAAATTCCAGAGTCAGTGCGGCCGTACCCGGCATGGCAAGGTGAGCGGAGGCAGCGACGCGGCACGAGCCCGAGGAGCCTGCGAAAGGATGCGTGGCCCCTGCATGAGCCGCCTCGACTCCCCCGCTGGACGCGCGGCCGCCGTCGCGCCACGTAGGCCCCGTAAAGCGCAGGCGGTCGCTGACTGGCGGAATGTATGACGTGGGCCCACCGACAGCGACCGGTCACCCAATAGAGTAGTTAGCTGCATTCATTGATTAGTCGCCAGCCGGCTCTCCCTAATAATCTGCCCATGCGATGATCCTGCGCCACGTACCGTGGAATTGTCTATCCAGCACCGCCACTACTTTAACTGCCGGCGCAAGATTCACGCTCTTACTTTTGCGCTAATCTCGCGCGGGGCCCGGATGTCATCGGCGGCGGACGACGTGGGCCAGCGGTGGCCGCAGTTTTCTACTACGTACTCCCTCCTTTCATCTATATAGGGCCTAATGTGTTTTTAAGACCGCCTTTGACTATTGACAAGATTAATAGCACATGACATGCACAATGTGAAAGTTATATCATTGAAAGCTCCTTTCACACACGAATTTAACGACGTGCTTTGTGTAAGTTGCATGTCATATATTATTGCTCTAATATTTGGTCAAAGTTAGCCTCGAAAAATGCATTAGGCCTTATATAGATGGAAGGAGGGAGTACTGCCGTTTCGGTTGTGGCTAGGCTACGCCGTGGTGGATGCAGATCAGATCATTCCTGGACCCGAATCAGTTGAGCGGAAGGAAAGGGTAGCACGCCCATGGAACGGGAGGGAGGCACGTATATCCCTATCTTTTTGGTGGCGTGGAGGCGGCCTCCGTTTCGTCCGTCTCTTTTTGGTTAGGTTTGGTGTCTAGTGCAGGGGCACTGTACCACTGGGACTACTGTGGTGGCAGTTCGCGGGGAGTGCTGGTCGCTTGGCGGCCTCGAAGCTGAACTAATAACAGCGGGCGGGTGTGCAGTTCGAGGGGCAAGGCAATGGGTTTGTGCGGCTGGGAGTCGGCTACCGGAGCGAGGGCGAAATAAAGGAGCAAAGGAGGAGAGGAGGACCCTCGCTCCATTTAAAGCGTGTTTGTGTGGCTCGCTGCTCGCCTCTCGCCCCCGCCCTCAAGCACAGTCACACGCTCGTCTCTGGTCGGCTCGCTGCAGCGGCTTCCTTCAGATCCTTATCTTCTCGCCGCTCTGGGGCCATTTGTTGCGCGGATGGGGTCCGGGGAGCAGCGGGTGCAATCGGAGGCGGCAGCGAACCGGACGTGATCCGGGCCATGGGGTAGAGCGCTGCGGGCAGTCGGGCATGGAGGTGTCCCGTGGCGGTGCTGCCGCCGGCGGAGGGGCGCGGAGGGGGGAGGAGGAGGGAGGAGAGGTGAGCCTGCGGGAGTGGCTGGACCGGCCGGGCCGGGCCGTGGAGGCGCCCGAGTGCCTGCACGTCTTCCGCCAGGTGGCGGAGGCGGTGGCCGACGCGCACGCGCAGGGCGTGGCCGTCGGCAGCGCGCGCCCGTCCTGCTTCGTCGTGTCCCCGCCCTTCTCCCGCGTCGCCTTCATAGAGTCGGCCTCGGGCTCGGACGCCTCCGGCTCCGACGCCTCCGAGGACGCCGACCACGACGCCGAGCCTCCGCGCCGGGGTCACGGCGCGGGCCGAGGGGGGGAGGAGCGCGGCGAGAAGGGGTTCCCGCTCAAGAGCGTGCTGGCGATGGAGCTCAATTGGTACACTAGCCCCGAGGAGGCTGACGACAGCGGCGGCGGCGCTACCTTCGCCTCCGACGTGTATAGATTAGGCGTGCTCCTGTTCGAGGTGCGCTGCTTCACATGAATATTCTCTTAGTAGTACTTTTCGGTGCGATTTCCGTTGCCAATGCTTTTCGCCTGTCGTCGCAGTTGTTTTGCAGCTTCGAAACGTTGGAGGAGAAGATGCGGGCAATGGCCAATCTGAGGTACCGCGTGTTGCCGCCACAGTTGCTGCTCAAGTGGCCCAAGGAAGCATCCTTCTGCCAGTTGATGATGCACCCTGTACCGGACACCCGACCCAAGATGAGGTTTGTGTGTGTCATTTACATTTATATTGTGTGTAAAGTACCGCCGAAAACAGGGTTGATTGTTTCACATTGGGCAGCACGAAGTAGTTTACTACTAGTAGTAGTTACTCGTTGTCCTACATGTTGAGACATCACCTTTTTTCCTACATGATTAAATAGTGGGTTTATTCATACGTGAACTACCGAGTGTTGATGACTAAAGCAAAAAACACCTGTCATATGAATTGTCCCACTCAAGCAGAGCACAGTAAGATTCATGATCCACTAACGCTGGAGTTAGTCTCGGTACAACAAACCTTATTCAGGTTCCATCTTTAGAATGAGTGCACTTGCATGGACATGCCTTTTATGACGTTCTTTTGAAATTCAGTTCCTTCATGGCTATACTTATGTTTGCAGTTTAAAAACACTAGTCTGGCAAGTGACCTAACCTATGTGCCGGAATAGATCGACCCCCCTACTCGCCACCCAAACCAAACATTTTTTAAAGATCTATATGCTGGATATTACTCTAATTAATATCGGTACATGTACAGTGTTTATTGAATATGTGCTATCTATAACATTTGTCCATGAAATTGAACACAATCAACAGTGCCTCTTATGAAGGTCTTGACGAATAACTGTGCTATGGAGGTTTTTGTCTAAAAAAATTCAATGCACTATTGCTGAAGTGAGTTGATTAGCATTAAAAAAATTATCATTGCTTGCACGCTATTGCAATACTTAGCAATCTCATTTTACATTTTAGACACACACCATGTACCACCATTTATTTTCTGGACATATAGTACTTTGAAAAGTATGTAAATGGTTCATACATACACGCTTACTTATGACAAAGGCACTTGCACATTTTGAAATTTGTGAAAATATTTGTGCATGTGCATTGCGCAAAGTTACGTGTACTACAACAAAATATTCAAATTTATGCAAACACAGTTACAGTACTATATTACTGTACTGTAACTGTGTTTGCATAAATTTGAATATTTTGTTGTAGTACACGTAACTACTAGCTGTGAGGAGGAGGAGGTTAGCCTTGATGGCCAGGTGGTACCTCGGAAGGACACCTTTCGGTATTTGGGGTCAATGTTGCAGGAGGATGGGGGTATTGATGAAGATGTGAACCATCGAATCAAAGCCGGATGGATGAAGTGGCGCCAAGCTTCTGGCATTCTCTGTGACAAGAGAGTGCCACAAAAGCTAAAAGGCAAGTTCTACAGGACGGCGGTTCGACCCGCAATGTTGTATGGCGCGGAGTGTTGGCCGACTAAAAGGCGACATGTTCAACAGTTAGGTGTGGCGGAGATGCGTATGTTGAGATGGATGTGTGGCCACACGAGGAAGGATCGAGTCCGGAATGATGATATACGAGATAGAGTTGGGGTAGCACCAATTGAGGAGAAGCTTGTCCAACATCGTTTGAGATGGTTTGGGCATATTCAGCGCAGGCCTCCAGAAGCTCCAGTGCATAGCGGATGGCTAAAGCGTGCGGAGAATGTCAAGAGAGGGCGGGGTCGACCGATTTTGACATGGGAGGAGTCCGTTAAGAGAGACCTGAAGGATTGGAGTATCGACAAAGAGCTAGCTATGGACAGGGGTGCGTGGAAGCTTGCTATCCATGTGCCAGAGCCATGAGTTGGTTGCGAGATCTTATGGGTTTCACCTCTAGCCTACCCCAACTTGTTTGGGACTAAAGGCTTTGTTGTTGTTGTTGTTGTTGTACAGTTACAGTACTATATTAGTTATTCATCTCTTGTCTTGTATAGAACACAAGTGTGCGTGCTTTGGCACAAAATTTTGCCACGGTATATTTGTTCACAGCACATATGATTTATTTTTGAAAACATTTAAATTTTTCCTGGCCCTTATTTTAATTTATGTACTTTAGTCTAGAATGCACATAGTGGCCACGGCAAAAACCAAAAGAACATGAAGAAAGAAAGAAAGAAAAAAGCCTAACGGGACAAAGTGAAGAAAGTAAACTTGGAGCCAAGAGCCAGGCCGAGTCAGGTCCTCGCTGATCTTGCTTTGAAGTTACGATGACATTGTTTAAGAAAATATGGTCAGTAATGTTTTCTATACCAATAAGTCAACTTGAAAAAAGGATATTATCCTCATTTCTTTCCTTCTATGAGTTAGTACCTCCATTTGTTTGACTGTGTTGATGACCTGATTTTTGATTTTATTTCTTCTTTTTGTTCAACAGTGAGGTGCTACAAAGTGAGTTCCTTAATCAATCAAGGAATAGTTTGGAAGAGCGCGAGGCAGCTCTTCGGTTACGTGAAGAGATAGAAGAACAAGAACTGCTGCTGGATTTTCTTCTCCAGTTGCAGAAAAGAAAGCAGGATATAGCAGACAATTTGCAGGACACTGTCGCCTTTCTCTCTTCTGACATCAATGAGGTACTCCACCGGCAGTCAGCCCTCGGTCAGTGTGGAAATTTCTCAATTGAGTTGGATAAAGAGGTGTCCTCTGGAACTGTTGAAGATCAGAGTGACTGTGGATCCAGAAAGCGTTTCAGACCTGAACTGCACGCTGTTGATATGGAGGAACACAGTCGTAGTCTGGAAGAATGTTCTAGAACAGTGCCATCATCTGTGGTAATTCAGGAAAGTGTGTTGTCAAAAAGCTCAAGGTTAATGAAGAACTTCAAAAAACTAGAAACAGCATATTTTCTAGCAAGATCCAAGTTGGCAAGGCAAGTTGGCAATCCACTGAGAAGTTGCGATCAGGTTGTCAAGAGAACTACTGGTTCAGCTGTTGGAACTGAAGGGAGTTCAATAGATGATTTTGCTTTAGAAGGGCATTCTGGTAGAAGACAAGGAGGTTGGATGAACTCTTTTCTTGAAGGATTGTGCAGGTACTTGTCATTCAGCCAGTTGAAAGTTCGGGCGGAACTGAAGCAATGCGATCTGCTGAACTCATCAAATTTAGTATGCTCTGTAGGCTTTGACCGGGATAATGAGTTTTTCGCAACTGCTGGTGTAAATAAGAAGATAAAAGTCTTTGAATATAATATGATCGTAAATGAACACCGTGACATTCACTATCCTGTGGTTGAGATGTCTAATAAATCAAAATTAAGTTGTATTAGCTGGAACAGTTACATGAAGAGCCATATAGCATCTAGTGACTTTGATGGTCTCGTACAGGTAAGCTCCTTTGAGGAATTATTAATTTTCACTTTCCAGTTGAAAAGGATCATTATAGCAACCACATTATGAGGAATATCTCATTCTTTTTCAGGTTTGGGACGTTACTAGGAGCCAAGTTTTCGTTGAAATGAGGGAGCATGAGAGGCGTGTGTGGTCAGTAGACTTCTCACTTGCAGACCCAACCAAATTGGTTAGTGGGAGCGATGATGGTACTGTGAAGCTGTGGAGCATGAATCAGGCAATTCTATTCTTGCACCTGCTGTATGTCAGCTTTTGAATTATGATAATGTGGTTATCGAGCTTGTATGCGATGGCAATAACTTTCTTCCTACATTACAGTAACATTTTTCTATGAACTCTGCAGGCTGGGAGTGTTGGCACTATCAGAACAAGGGCAAATGTCTGCTCAGTGCAATTTCAACCTGATTCAGCTCGCTCCATTGCAATCGGCTCTGCAGATCACAAAATTTACTGCTATGATCTTCGCAACATACGGGCTCCTTATTGTACACTAGTTGGCCACACAAAGACTGTAAGCTATGTCAAGTATGTAGATGCATCAACCATAGTATCTGGTTCCACTGACAACTCATTGAAGCTTTGGGACTTGTCTACGAATCAAGCAAGAGTTATTGACAATCCAGTTCAAACTTTTACAGGGCATACAAATACAAAGGTTAGATATCCTGCATTGATTTTTGTTCTAGCTGTACTATACTTGTTCTCTTCTCAGTGTATTGTTCTGGAAATGATTATAATCAATCACAGCCATTATCAACTCTTAATTTGATTTTTGTGGCCTTGAATCATGGCATGGTTACCTTTTTTTTCCCGGCATATTCAGTTACAGCCGTATTTCATCAGTATAGCTCTGTCATCAGATAAGTCTTCTTTAAATTATTGACGCTGCTTTAGTACAACTTTGTACTAAAGTTGTACTAAAACAGCGTGAATTAATTTGGATCGGAGGGAGTAGTATTATAAGTTTCAGCATGCCACAATTAGGTCTTTGCTTCAAACATTATTTTTCTTATGCAAATATATTTTTGACATTTGAGATTAAATGTACCTCATTTTTGTTTTCGTATACTTTTGAATTGCTTCTGGCTTAAAGGAAACAGTCTTTTGCTCGATGACTAATTTACATATTCCTGTTGAGCAGAATTTTGTTGGCCTTTCCATTTCTGATGGATACATTGCTACTGGGTCAGAAACAAATGAGGTATGCATTCTATGTCTGCACCAACTTTTTTTTGCTGAATTCTGAAGATACAGTTCTATAGAGAGCCAACCTTTAGATCAAGGATAGGGCGTGTAATGTGCACTCCAACCTGGGGTCCTCTCTCCTCCTGGACCTGTCCTTTTTCATCTACTCCCTCCGTTCGGAATTAGTTGTCTCGGAAATAAATGTATCTAGAACTAAAATACGTCTAGATACATCCATTTCCGCGACAAGTAATTCCGAACGGAGGGAGTACATCTCTACCAGCCTTTATGCATTCACTGGAGTGAGTAATGACTTCATGTGGAGACAGACAAAAATAATACGTAGCAAGTGAAACGCTAATGCAAACAAGTTCCACCGTTTGGCTGAAGGGAGATAAGATGGTTGCATATTGCGCGCAGGACAAGCATGTTTGGCATTATGTGGCAAGATTTGGCAATCTAAAATATAAAAATCAAATATTGCCAAATTGGTGGCAGAAGGAACACTCCCTACGCTAACACAGAGGAGATTAACATGCCAATGCTTATGTGCGGCTGTGCGCACAATATTAATTATTTTGATTTTTGATAATCTCATGCATGTCTGTAGTTTTTCTTTCTCTTGGATGTGTAGCAATTAAAATGCCTAACTTTCCATCCTTGACACTTTACATCAGGTTTTTGTCTACCACAAAGCATTTCCAATGCCAGTCTTGGCGTATAAGTTCAATGTCACAGACCCAATATCAGGCCAGGAGATCGACGATCAATCACAGTTCATTTCGTGCGTGTGTTGGAGGGGGCAGTCTTCGACACTTCTTTCTGCTAACTCCAGTGGGAACATTAAGGTCTTAGAAATGGACTGACCCTGTACGGAAGGGCGAGTGTGCTGCCTGGTTTCGAGTAGAAATGGACCGACTTCAGTGACTTGTTATCAGGGGAATGTGCATGTCTTGCTATTTTATCCCTTCAAGGCAGAGGTGGGAATAGGGTACCCCAGAGTTGGGAACTAGTAGGGTGGTAGTGTTAGCTGTATCAAGAGTTAGCGTAGGATTACAGGTTAGCGTCATAGCAAACGTAGCATAAATAGTGAAGGTATTTGAGATGTTGGGGTGGCCCAAGGGTTTTGTACATCATTGGTTTCAGGTATACTTGTATAGGCAATCAATCCGAGTCTTCGGCTAATGCTGGCCTTTGGTTGTTGCAGTCCCTTTTAATTCTACTTGGTTGCTTGATGTTCCCTTCTTTTTTTCCTCAAGAAATCTTGTGTTGCAGTTATGTCACTGTTTTAAGCGTAGAAGTTCTGATTAGTCCTCTTTTTAGTTGTTCCTTTATTAGTTTGCGTTGATAAGCTTATGTTTTTAGGGGTGTCCTAATAAACTTGCATAGTTTTTAGGGGCGTCTTGATAAATTTGCATAGTTTTGTAGCAATGCCAAATGCGTAATTTGCATGGTTCTGTAGCAATGCCAAATAACAGGATCGTGCTGATGATGTATATTCGGATTTCCCGGGGTTACGCCTAACCAACAGTCTTGATCAACCCAGTACCTTAGTTATTTCCGTGGTTCAGTACAGAGCGCTATGATCTCTGACTCAGTTGTTTATCCGAGATGTAGTATATATAACAGGAATTTACGGATTATCACTTGATAGCTGAAAAGGTGGACTAAACCATGCAGAAAGAGTGACCAAAACAAAATGGGTTGTGGGTTGCCTATGGTATGCACAGCACAGAACGACAGTTGAGTCCCACCCTAGCAAGCATGGCACACAGGATTGTTGAATCTTACGAAAAGTGAAAGCATGATATAACCATGTTTGATGAATGCAATCCCTCCCCCACCCCCTGCACTCAAAAAAGGCCAGCAACGACTTGGGCGCAAAGGCTATAGAGCGAGTCTTCCTTCGGTTGTTGCGGCCCGGTCCATTCGCGCATACTTAAAAGAAATTCATTAGAGAAAAAGAAAGCAAAATGGGTTGCACAAAGAGTGGACACAAACAAAATGGGTTGCGGGTTGCCTATGGTATGCATAGCACAGAATGGCAGTTGAATCCCACCCTAGCAAGCGTAGCACATAGGATTGTTGAACCTTAGAAAAAGTGAAAGCACGGCATAACCATGTTTGATGAATGCAATCCCTCCCCAAACCCCTGCACTCAAGAAAGGCCGGCAATGACATGGGCGCAAAGGCTATAGCTCGCTTATACCGAGTCTTCCTTCGGTCTCTCCTAAAGTGTCTATAGTTGCGGGCCGGCCCGTTTGCGCATACTTCAAAAAAATTCAGTAGAGAAAAGAAGAAAGCAAGCGGGGATCGATCCCAAAATCTCGTGCACGCAGTGTAGCTCACTAGGCACAATCGTGTTAAGTACTCCCTCCGGTCCTTTTTAATTTGCATATAAAATTTGTCTGAAGTCAAACCTCGTAAAGTTTGACCACTTCATAGAAAAAAATACCAACATTCACGATGTAAAATCAATATCAGTAGATGTGTCATGTTTTAAATTTTCATACTGTATAACTTTAGCATGGTAGATGTCGTGGAATAGTCACGTCAGATGTCCTCGTGAAAGGATTTAGTTGTGGAGCCATCGCAACTAGGAAGCTTAAAGGGGTTAAATCGGGACAAGGGACACGAGAGAGTTTATACTAATTCGGCCCCTTACGGTGAAGATAAGGCCTATGTCTAGTTGAGTTGGTATTGATGTTTCGATGACCAGGGAGCGAGATACGCTATGCCCGGCTCTCGATGAGTTGTTTCTTGCCCTAAGTCGCCCGCAGGTCGTCCCCTTATATACACGGTTGATCCCTGCGGCTTACAGAGTCCCGACCGGCTTATAAACAGAGTCCGGCTCGGTGACCAGTTAAATCTACCTTACGTTACAAGTCTTGCCATCATGGGCTTAAGCCGCCCGTGGGCCTTAAGCTCTTTATTGAACCGCCATCTTCATGCTTGGTCTTGGGCTTCCTCTGATGAGTACTCTTTGCGTAATCCGGCCCCTCCTGGGCGGCTTACACAAATAGTCATATCCCCAACATTAAGCCCGAGACTGATTTGAACCTGTTCATGTCAGTCTAAAAATTATTTTAAAGAATTAAATCTTCAGTCTTCTGACTATATAGTGGGTTTTTGTTAACCCGCCATGACGTCATCTTCTGGATCCGTCTTAACTCGGCGTGACGTCGTTCTTCCTTTAACTCATTTTTTATTCCATCAAATACTTCAACGGATCTTTTCTTTACTGATCACTCCGAAGATCGAGGCATCGGGGCCGCTGGATAATAATTGTTATCTCCTCGTTTCCCGCGCCGTCTCAGTCATCTTCTCCCTATAAATAGCCACGACTTAGGTCTTTTCCTTTTTACCCTTTCAGTCGTCTTCTTCCTCTCCTCTCTGCCGCTCAAGCTCCGCCGCCGTCACCCTCGACCCCCTCGTCTTCGTCGACTCAGGCCGCTGCATCGACCTGACTTTTGACCAGAGATCAACGACGGGCCTCCGCAGTTCATCTTCATTCGTGAGTTCCTTTCTTCTCTTTTCTTAGATCTATCTTGATGCTCTGCCAAGTTCGTCGGGTTCATCACCGCCCCATGCACACCCTTGCTAGTTCGCACTTCCACAGCCTGTTTAGATCATAAAAACTGTGCAGAACTGCTGCGGTAGTTGTTTGCGTTGATCTTGTATAAAAATAGATCTCATTTTTCTTGTTTGGAAACCTCCTTTGAATGCATGAACTTCTCTGGCCTATTTTTAGGTCTAGAAATTTTCTCCTTCAGAACAATAGTTTGATCCATAATAAAGGCTGTTGTCCGTGAGACTTGTTTCTATCACCTGGAAAGCTTCTTCTGGAAAACTTATTTTATCACCATTGTCTAGGTGTCCGGTTTAAAAAATCCTTGAATGACTGTTGATCCTGATAGCGGCTTAAACTTTACTGCACAATCACCCTTATATCATTAGGCCCCTTGCTTAAGCCGCTATTTTAAATAAATTTGAATATTTCTCCCGGGTTAAATGTGAACCGGAACTTTCTTACTTTGTCATAGGCCACTGCTGTTATGGCTCCTAAGGCGGCCAAGGCCCCTCTGACTTGCAACTGGGTTCCATCCACAGTCACCAAAAGTAAACTTGCTGAGTTTGTGACATCTGGCCATCTGCCAAAAAAGGAGGTCATGTCCTATCGTGCCCCTCACCCGTCTGAAGAGATACCTCAACCCAAAGACGGGGAGGTAGTAGTTTTCACAGACCATATGAACCGGGGATTCGCCCCTCCCGGCTCAAAATTCTTCAGGGAAGTTCTGGATTTCTTTGA